TTTTTTCTTCTTTTTGTGATTTCTTTTAATTTTTGCATCCATTATTTTGGAGCTAAGTTGCCCATCAAGAGTAAGTTCAGCCACTTCCTTCTCCCTCCTTATCCTGGGGCTTATCCTGGAGGTTCTCCCCTTCTCCTCACCCTTCCACACCTCCCTTCATCCCCTTTTCCTGCTTGGCTTTTGGGATGCAGAGAGCTCAGGGAGGGGGGACAGAGGGCCACATTTTGTGCCACATCTTGTGCCCAGCCACATTCCAGGATTTTCAGCTCCCACACATTGGGATGCTGGTCCCCATCTCCATCCCTGGAGCAGTGAAACTCCTCCCAGTCAGGATGTGACTCCAGGAATGCTGCCATGGCAGGAATACTGTGCCCCCCCTCCTCCAGGGGTGATTTTTTCAATCAGGTGGAGGCTTGGATCCCATCTCACAGACCTGGCAGCTGGCGAGAGCCTCCTCCCGAGTGGGGGGGATTAATTGGAGCGCTTCTCCCAGCCCTGAATAGTCTAATTTACCCCGGATTCAGATCCCTGAGGAAAGACTTTTCGAGTCCAGAATAACAAACTCAAAATAATCTTCCTTAATGCCTGGCTGGGGTGATGCTCCCTGCTGTGAAATCCTGGAGGAATGCGATCCTGGAGGGTCTGGAGGCTTGGGTTCGCTGGTCTCCCACAGACACACCCCACGGGCAGATTTGGGGTGAATTTGCTGCTGGGCTGGAGCTGGGAAGGTGGAGGATGAATGTGGGAAGGGATGAAGCAGAGCTGGACAGGCTTGAAGGGTCCTGGTTTGTTGAGGGGGGTGGTTTTATATCCCCCAGCCCTCAGAGAGGCTGAGAGCAGGCTCTGAGCCTTTCCATGCCCAGATTAATTTGGGATTAACCCACGGGGCAGCGCAGGGGCTGGCTGGGGAGTTTTGGGGTGCTGACCCCCGTGTGGCCCCCCAGTACTCCCCGAGCATGAGAGCCACGTACCTGGCGGTCACCGATGAGCACGTCCGGCACCGCGGCGACTTCCCGGCCTAGCAGGAGATTCCGCTCGGGAAACCAAAGACCCCGGAGAGAGAAGGCGTGGTAGGAGACACGGCGGGGGCTGGAGGACGAGCCTGGAGCCCCCCAGCACCCCACTCCCCTCGGCAGCCCCCCAGACCCACACCCTGCTGCCTTACGGGCTCCCAGGAGCACGGAGGGGTCTCCGGTGTCTCCTCCCGTCCCTGCGCCAGCTCGGGAATGTTCTGGAGCACAAATCCCGGGACACGCTGCCTCCCGTAGCAATGCAGCACCAACCACTAGTGATCCCAACCCCTTCCCGACCCCCATTCCTGGCTATCCCAGCTCCCCGTGCCCCCCTCACTGCCCCCCGGCCGGAGGGAGCGCTCCCAGGCCCAGGAATTACGGATGTCTTGGCCTTGCTGCTTTTCCTTCACTTTGCCCCCCAGGATTTGGGATCTGTGGGAGGTGCTGGCTCTGTTCCAGACAGGGGTCACTGCAGTGGTGTTTCTAGCAAGTTTTTGGGTGGCTTTAGGCTCTTTTTGGCTCCCCAGGGCAGGTGTGGGCGGGGGCAGGCTCCCCTCGTCCTGCAGCCCTGGAGTGCTCACAGATCCCCTGGGAGAGGAACTGCTGGGGTATCCCTGGGAAGGGACAACATGGACCTGCCACCCCTGGGTGCTCATCCCCAATTCCCAGGATGACGAGCCGAGAGAGCAGCACAAGCTGAACAAGGTCCTTTGGGGCTGCCCTTTGGCACACGGATCCCCAGGAAAGGCCCCTTCCCCCTGGAGCAGGAATGGACCCCCTGCCCCATCCCACCCACACCCCCAAAGGGTGCACGCAGGGCAGTGGCTGCGTCCCCACCCAGGGCCAGGACATCCCCCCCCGAGTCCCCCTCTCCATATTCCCCGTGACTAGCATCCCTCCCCTTGGGGAAAATCCCGAGGGATTTTTTTATTTTATTTTTTTGGCTTTTAACATTTCCATGTAAAGGTACTGGTAGAAGAGCTGTTGTAACCGCATGTGAACTAACTGAAGGACTCCAGCTGGGAGCTGGAGTCCGGCTGGATTTGTATGTGCCCTTTGCGGGGAAAAGATAATAAACACTTGGACTAAATTAATCTCTCTCGTGCGGGTTTTTTTGGGGGGATAATCAATGTTTGGGGGGCCTCTGAGTTGACCTTCCCAACATGGCGGCGGTCACGTGACGCCGAGCTAGCCGCCATTTCGGGGAGGGCGTCGCTGAGTGTGTCACGTGACGGCAGTGCCTGTGTCACGTGATTGTGTGCTCAAGGCGTTGCCTGGCAACGGCGACGCGTCCCCGGCCAGGCCCCGACGGGACCGGGCCCCACCGGGGTCTCTCGTTACCCTGGGTGCTTCAGCACTCCCTCTCTGCGGCTCGCCTTCGTTTTGGGGCTCCCTGAGGCTCTCGCTGTCCTTCAAGGCCCTCTCAGGGTCCTCCCTCCACAGGATCCCTGCTCACATTTGGGGTTTGCCGAGATTCCCATTCCCTTGGGGTCCTTCTGGGACTCCCTGAAGGTTTTGTTCCTTTTTGGGACATTCCCAAGGCCCACACCGTCTTCTGGGACCCTAAAGGATCCCACGCCCTTTTGGGGTCCTCCATCCGAGAGCCCATTCCCTTTTGGGGTTCGCTGAGGTTCTCCATCTCTTTCAGCATCCTTCCTCTCCAGGGTCTCTGTTCACATTTGCATCTCCCTGAGGCTCCCACACCTTTCTGGGGCCCTTTATCCCTGAAACCCTCGCTCCTTCTTGGAGCTCCCTGAGATCCCCACTCCCTTCCACATCCATCTCTCCATCCCTGAAAACCCCACTCCCTTCTGGGATCCTCTCAGAAGCTTCCACTCTCTTTTGGAACCCTCTCTTCCTCCCTGAGGCCCCTTTTCCCTTTTAGGCTTCCCCACGACTCTCCATCCCCTCTGGAGCTCTCCATCCCTGAGGCCCCCACTCCTTTTTGGGGCTCCCTTTGAGGACCCTCCATCCCCAGGCCCCCCAGTCCTTCCCATCCCCTCCCACCATGGAGATCAAGTACGAGTACACGCGGAAGCGCAGCGAGTTCGGGCGGCCCTTCAGCTTCTCGGACTTCCTGGCTGAGGTGACCGTGGACATCCCACCCGACCCCAGCCTGGCTGAAGACTTCATCCCCCAGGACCCCGTGGACTTTGCGGTGCAGGAGGGCCCTGTCATGGCCTTGCACGAGGTATGGAGGACACAGAGAAGGTGGAGGGGACATCCCAGGATGTCAGCCACGTGGAGAGCAGCCGGCCTGAGGGGACAAGGTGTGTCAGGCACCTGTTGAGCCCTGCGTGTCCCCATGCCCAGGTGAACACGGAGCGGGTGCAGGTGGCCATCAAGGGTGTGAACCATGTGGAGGGGGGGTGGCCCAAGCACATTGACCCCAAGAATTCGGAGCTGACCACGCGCTACCGGGAGGAGGTGGAGAGGGAAGAGGTCTACACCAGGAGTGTCCAGCGCCTCAGCTCCGTAAGACCCTGCCCTGATCCCTCCCGGGCCCCCTGAGCCCCCCAGAGCCCCCCATGGACACGGCCATGCTGTCCCTGCAGCTGATGGAGCACTACATCAGACAGAACAACAGCATTGACATCTACGAGGAATATTTTGAGGAGGAAGAGGAGGAGGAAGATGAGGAGCAAGAGCAGCCCTCAGCCAAAACCATCAATGTCCTCAGGTAGCACAGCTGGGGGGGCTCACCAGAGGTCAAACCACCCTCACAGAAAGTGGGAAAACTTTAGGAGTTAAATCCCAGTGAGTCTGGGATGGTTCTGGTGCTGTTTGTGGGTGGAGAGACCTGCTGAGCCCTCCCTGCTCCATCACTCCATCCCTGCCCCTCGCCCTGCCCAGCTGATTTGGGGTTGGGAACCAGGGTCAGACTCAGGTCTGAGCATCTCCTGATGGCACTTCTGGATTTTCCTTCTTATTTTTGGTGCCTCAAAGGTTAATTTCCACATCAGGAGTGTTTAGGAGTCAGATATCCAGTAAGATGATAGGATTTTTAGAAAGGTATAACTGGAAAGACGATGAAATCATCAACTCTTCTCCCCCCGCGAGGAGAATCATTTCCTGCACTCAAGGCTTGAGGGCTGCAGATTGGTTTCCTTGTGATTCCCACAATTCCCTCAGGGAGATGTTCATCCCAGAGGTTTGCCAACTGGCCTGTCCTGGCTGATGTGTCTCCCCAAAGGGACCCCAACATGCCCAGGAGGATGGCCACGCACCTCTCCTGGCACCCCGACGCCAACAGGGCAGTGGCCGTGGCTTATTGCACCCTGGACTTCCAGGACAGCAGGAAGGACATGAACTTTGATTCCTACATCTGGGATCTGGGTAAGGGCAATCCCACCAGGAGCTCAGGGAAGCACTTTGTGTCTCAGAGAGCAGGATGAGGCCTTGCAGCACCCCAGGGAGGGTCACGGGGGGAGCCCCCTGCTTTGCCCTCACAGCAGTGCAGAAACAGGGAGAAACAGGAGCTGGAAAGTGGGAAATAATCACTAAAATCCCACTCCATGGCCCTGGAGCCGGGACAGGCAGCAGAGCCTGGAGCCTCGGATGAGGATCTTGTGTTGATGTGGTTCAATTGGCAATGAAGGAAGAAAGAGGCAGCAGGAGCCCAGGGTGAGACTTGCCCTGATCTGTCCAAGACTGGCTCACGCCTGATGCATTTTGGAGTGAAAAGGACAAAGAAGAGGGGTGACAATGCAGATTTGTGTACTGGGGGGGTCTGTCTCCATGTCACCCCAGGATGAGGTGACATGGGCACCTCATCCTGCACGGCTGTGTCAGGGAACGGGGTGGGCTGGGGGCTGCTTTTGGGGGGCTGCCCTCACCCTTTACTCTTCACTCATCCCTCCTTGGCAGAAAAACCCTACACCCCAGAGCTTGTCCTCAAGCCCTCGTCCCCTGTGGTGACCCTGGAGTACAATCCCAAGGACTGGCATCACGTGCTGGGAGGCTGTTACAACGGGCAGATAGGTGAGGGGGGTTAGTTCTGCTCCAGCCGGGATGATGGATGATGGATGGATGGATGGATGGATGGATGGATGATGGATGGATGGATGGATGGATGGATGGATGGATGGATGGATGGATAGATGGATGATGGATGGATGGATGGATGGATGGATGGATGATGGATGGATGGATGGATGGATGGATGGATGATGGATGGATGGATGGATGGATGGATGGATGGATGGATGATGGATGGATGATGGATGGATGATGGATGGATGGATGGATGGATGGATGGATGGATGGATGGATGGATGGATGGACGGATGGATGACTCCAGGGGATGAGCAGGATGGGTGCTGTGCTCCCACCTCTCCCACCACTCTGGACGGTCTCTGGGAAGCACTGGGTGAGGTTTGCTCCCTGTTCCAGCTTGGACCGTGGGAGAAACACGACAAGGAAAGGAGCTGGGAAAGGGCTTTTCTTTTCCTTCCCAGTGTACTGGGACACCAGGAAAGGAGGGCTGCCCATGGAGATGACCCCTGTGGAGTTCAGCCACAGGGACCCCGTGTACGGAGCGTTCTGGCTGCCCTCCCGCACGGGCACCGAGTGCTTCTCAGGCTCCACCGACGGGCAGGTGAGGAGCTGGAACAGGGCAAGGGGTGAGCAGCTCCTGAGGGGTTCTGAAAGAGCTTCCTGTGCCTGCTCTGCCCCTCAGCAGCACAAGATCCAGGTGTCCCAGGCTGGCAGGGGGCAGCTGCCGGGCTCCAGGACTGCCAGCACCTCTGGCTGTGCTGGGAGCTGTCCCCAGAGCTCCTGCCTCACCTTGTCCCCACAGGTCCTGTGGTGGGACATCCGCAAGATGTCTCAGCCCAGCGAGAGGCTGATCTTGGACATCACCCGGGAAGATCAGCTGAAGGCAGCTCTGGGTGCCAGCTCCCTGGACTTTGCACCTGTCCTGGTGAGTGTCCCTGTGCCCACACCCAGCCTGGGCAGGAGGAGGAGCCCAGCTGGGCACAGGGCAGTGTCTGGTCACCCCTGAGAGCACAGCCCAAGGCCAGATGCCCTCAGAAGAACTGGGGGTTGATGTGCTCCAAAAACAGGGGATCCTGCTGGCATTTCAGTCCCTAAACCCCCAGTGGTGGTGGGTGTCAGGGTTCTGGCTGCAGCAGGATCCTCTGCTGCCCTCCACACCATGGGGTCTCCATCCTGCTGACAGCTGCACCCTCCTGCTCCCACCCCAGCCCACCAAGTTCCTGGTGGGCACAGAGCAGGGCATCATCATCTCCTGCAACCGTGACGCCAAGACACCGCCCGAGAAAATCGCCAACATCTTCAGAAGCCACATCGGGGCTGTCTACAGAGTGACCAGGAACCCCTTCTTCCCCAAAGTGTTCCTGTCAGTCGGTGACTGGACTGCTCGCATCTGGACAGAGGAGCTCATGGATTCATCATCAATTATGGAGACCAAGTAGGTGTCAATGGGCCAGAAATCATCCCCAGGGTGTCAGAGCATGCTCAGGGTGGGTGGCAGTGGGGTCTGAGTGCTGGGATGGGCCGGTGACCGAGGCAGGGCAGTGCCAGCGTGGCTCAGGGGTGGCTCTGCTGGAAGGTACCACACCTCCTACCTGCTGGACGCGTGCTGGAGCCCCGTGAAGCCAGCCGTGTTCTTCACCGCGAGGTCAGACGGGACCTTGGACATCTGGGACTTCCTCTTCCACCAGAAAGAACCTTCCCTCAGCCTCAGGGTGAGTCCCCAGCGCCTCTGGGAGCCTCGCATCACCCCAAGGCCCAGTGTCACCACCCAGCTGTGCCCTGTCCCCAGGTGTCCAACGATCCCCTGCTCAGCCTGTGCTCGCAGGACAACGGGCGCATCATTGGCTGTGGCACCAGGCAGGGCACCGTGTCCCTCCTGGAGATCTCCCCAGGCCTCTGCACCATGCGGAAGAACGAGAAGACCCTGACCTCCACAGTATGTGCCAGGTCCCAGCCGAGCCCCACACTCTGCCTGCAGCCCTCTGCTGTGCCCCCCACGCCCCTCTGCCCCACATCTCCCCGCAGATGTTCGAGCGGGAGGCGAGGCGGGAGAAGGTCCTGCAGGACAAATATCGGGAGCGGCTGCTGCGGGAGCAGGAGAGGCTGCGGGCCAAGCCAGAGGAGCAGGAGGATCCCCAGGAGGTGTTCAAGCAGGCCCAAGCAGATTTCTTCTCCAACATGAAGGCAGAGCGGCGAAGGAGGGGCATGGAAGTCCCCGAAGAGGTAAAGGGGGCAGGACAATGGCCACCATGGCAGGGTGACCGAGGGCAGGGGACAGGGTGAATATCAGGTGTCTTTCAGAGTGAAGAGGGCGAGGCAGCTGCACAGCAGGAAAAGCAGAAGAAAGAGTAGGAGGATGCCAAGGTCAGTGTGCTCCAGCTGTGCCTTCCTTTCCCCTCCATGCCAGAGCTGCTGCAGGGATGAGGCCACTATCCCCAAGCCAGGCAGCTCTCTTGGGCTCTCCTCCCTCCTGGGGTGGCAAGTGGGGGACTCTGCACAGCCCCCTGACCCCACAGTTGCTCCCTGGCCTTTGCATCCTGATTTTCTTTGGTGTGAATAAACCGGCGCTTTCCACGTCACATTTCCTCTTTTGTCACAGCAGGGTCGAGCAGAGGCTGGGAAAGTCACGTCCTCCTGCTCCTCCTGTCCTTTCCTTGACCCAGGACACTCAAAGCCAGTGGCTGAGCACAGCCAGGCACCCAGTGTGTCCCCCAGTGTCCCCAGCCGTGGAGCAGGGCACAGCAGGGTGGCTGGTGGCAGCTGGAGAGCCCTGTGTCCCCACAGGAGCAGCCCCCGGGCTGGGTTATCAGTGCTGGGTAAACACAGCCCTGCTGGTGGAACCGGCAGCCACCCCAACTCTTCACCCCCCCCTTAATTAATCATTAACGAGCTGCCGTCACAGTGATGGGGACATTACACAGGTGGCTCTCTGTGGCTGCTGGTCCCCCCAGCAGGACCCTTCCCCAGGGAGGCTGAACCCACCCGTGGGTGAGCTATGCCACGATGGGGTTTGGGGGTTCCCTCACATCCCAACCCAGCCCTGGGGGTGCTGCTGTGTCCCTTCCCCAGGCACTGGGGACACCTCTGTGATCCTCCTGAGTGGCTGTGCAGCGTCCTGTGCCAGCCCTGCCAGGGCCAGCTGTCCCCATGCCAAACCCATCCCAAGCAGGGACCCACATCCCCACAGGGAAAGGCATCCATGCCTGGATGGGTGTTTTCCTTCCCAGGAGTTCCACCAGAAGGAGCTGAGCTGTCACCCCAAAGATGCCCCACACGTCCCACGCTCATTTTCTGCTTTATTAGGAAAGGGGTGGGGGTACCTGGACAGGGATGGGGCAGCTGCCCCCCACCCCTCCTCCACTGGGGGAGGCTGATGGGCTCCTCACCCCCAGATTGGGCAGCTCCTGAGCTGGACCCGGCTGCCCACGCAGAGGGACCCCGGGGCTGCCTCACAGGAAGGATGGGCTGTCTCTGTCCCTGTTCCCGCACCCACTGGGGGCTCTGATGTGCCCATGGGCTGCACGTTTCACCTCCTGCACCCCCTACGTGGGTCTGGGGCGCTCCCAGCATCCTCCATCCCCAGGGACAGCGATGGGGACAGGATGTGGCAGGGGAACACTCAGGGAGGGGTGGGCAGTGCAGAGCACAGCCCTGGAGCCCCCCAGTGAGGGGACCCCCATCTACCTACGGGACCAAGCGTTCCCCCCATGGTGCTGGGGCCAGCATGGCAGGACCCAGCTGTGCCTCGCTACTTCTTCACCTTGATGAGGGAGTGGTAGACAGGCTTGATGATGATGTGGAGGTGCAGGGAGTTGTCGATGAGGTACTCGGAGGTGCGTTTCTGCAGGTCGGCGTGCGCCAGGAAATCGGCCGCCTCGTCCGAGCTCTGGTGGAAGCTGTAGGCGTGTTTGACCAGCACGCGGCCCTGCTGCCGCACACCCACCAGCACCGTCTTCTGGAAGCTGACACCGGCGAAGTCGGGGCTGCTCATGGCCGGGGTGATGACGAGGCGCGGGCGCCCGTCCTCGATGCGCACGGGCTGGATGGCGCCCGCCACCGAGTCCGAGTACACAGGGCGCAGGCTGACGGGCAGCCAGCGCGGCGAGAACAGCACGTTCCAGGTCACCCTCTTGCCGGCGTCGTGGCTGCTGGGCCCCAGCTGGGTCTGGAAGCTGGTGCTGCGGTCGTCCCGGGCCGGGTTGGTGATGACCCACTGGGAGCCCCAGCTGGGCGCGAGGTAGTTGCGGGGCAGGAACATGCTGCAGTTGACGTCAAAGTACTTGGCGAAGTGGAGCGGGGAGGCAGCGTGGAACTGGAAAGCCTGGAAGAGCAGGTCCTGCACCGCGCCGCGGTGCCGCGCCAGCACCGCCGACTGCGCCTGCAGCCGGAACAGCTGGCTGGGCGCGATCATGGGGTAGCGGATGGAGCGCAGCACCCGCTCGGCCACGGGCGCCTCGGGCTGCCGGCGGCTCAGCCAGCCCTCCACGGCAGTGTAGAGCTCCAGCTCGCTGTGCAGCACCAGGTCGGAGCGCTCCAGCAGCAGCAGCAACAGCTCCACGCTCACCGAGCCCCACTCGGCGCTGCCCAGCACCGCCGACAGGTTCCAGGCCAGGAACTGGAGGCAGCTCTCCTGCAGCGCCGCGTCGCCGACGCGCACGGCGTAGTGGTACCAGCCCACCACGTGGCCCTGGCTCGACTCGCTGGCCAGGTGGGTCCTCATGTATTCAGCCACGCCGCGCTGCAGCCCCCAGACCCGGTACTTGCTGGCCAGCTGGTGCATGGGGATGGCCTGGTGCAGCAGGATGGAGACCCCCCCGCAGTACAGGTACCTGTGCAGAGCACAGGGTGGTGACATTGGGACACCCATCCCTGGCAGTTCAGTTCCCAGGGGAGCAGCCTCTACCCCGGGCTGCTTTCATCTGAGTATTCTCACCCCACAGGGTTCCCAGGGAAGCATCCCACCTCCTTGGATGCTTCCCTCTGGGTGTTCCCATCCCGTGTGGTCTCCATGGTCCCTAGGAGAGCATCCTCCTTCCCTGGCTGCATCCCATGAGGTCCCTGATGGAGCATCCACCTTCTTTGGCTGCATCCCTCCAGGTACACCCATGGTCCCCAGGGGAGAATCCTCCCTCCTGGGCTGCATCCCTCCAAAAATATGTACATCCCTCCCAAAATGTACATCCCTCCCAAAATGTACATCCCTCCCAAAATGTACATCCCACGAGGACCCTGTGGCTCCCAAGGAACATCTCCCTTCCCTGGCTGCATCCCTCTGGGCATCCCCATCCCGTGGAGTTCCCCGTGGCTCCCAGGGGAGCTGCATCCTCCCGACCTCCCCATCCCGCGGGGTCCCCACGCACCTGATGAACTTCTCGAAGAGCGCGGCGGTCTCGGGCGGCTCGTACAGGGTCACGACGCTCTGGTTGCGCAGGAGGCTCTCGAAAACCTCGCTCTGGAGGCTCAGCAGCAGCTGGTGCGTGTGAAACACCTTGGGCTCGTCGGAGGAGGCCGAGCGGACCCGCAGCACCGAGTCGCTGCCGTTGCCGTTCTGCAGCAGCTCCTGCAGCCGCTGCAGCAGCGTCAGCGAGTGGTTGATGGTGGCTGCCGTGGAGTCCCCGCTAAAGTCGGCTTTTTGGGCTGCAGGGAGATGGGACGGTCCAGAGCTGCACCCCAGTGCCAGGCACTGAGGTGGGGTGGGGTTACCGAGGGGCTGTGCACCTCCCGCCTCCGCTCCCCCACTGCCAAAGGGCTGCTGGTGCCAAGGGGGTGTGGGGGAACAAAGGACGTGGGGACATTTGTGTCCCTGAGAGCCAAAAAACTGCCTTTCTGCAGCAGAAGGGCTGAGACCACCATGTCCCAGGCTGGGGTGTGCTGGGAAATGGCCGGGTGCCGGCAGCACTGGCTCTCAGCCCGGTCTGCCTGTCCCGATCCCGTCCCCGCTGTGGGCAGAGCGAGCCCCGGGCATTGCCCTGATCCCTCCATCCCGGATGGATACACGGGGGGACAGAGAGCCCGAGGGTCTGCGGAGCCAGGCACGCTCTGCCCCGCACCCAGGAATGGGCTCCCGAGCAGGGACACTCGTGTCACCGCGGGTCCGTGTTGGGATCCCAACGGGGACTGGAGAGGGATCTGGGAATGTGGAACAGGGGTCTCCATGCTCCTGTGAGCACTGGGACCCTGCCTTCCTCTCCTCTTCTCCCTCCTGACACCACTCCCAACGCTCCTCAGAGCATCCTTTCCCCAGGAGGAATTTGGCCCCGTCTGTCTCAAACCCATCTTGCCTCTCAAATCCCATCTTGCTGACGGATTACCCTTCCCAGCGCCGGCTTAAGTCCGGCTGAGCGGGGATGGGGAAGGGGAGCAGGCTCCCTGTACCCCGCGGTGCTGGACTTGTCTGCCCTCGGCACCGAGCCCTTCCCCGGGGCACCAGCGAGCACAACCCGGCTCCGAGAGTGCAGCACATCCAGGAGCCGCTTCCATCCCTTCCCGGCACCCCGACGGCAGCCGGCGAGACGCGCTCAGCTCTCCATCAGCCGCCGAGCCGCACCCCGGCACCCGGCGAGGGCAGCGCTACCCACGGCTCGGGGACCCTCCGCGCCTCCCC